GGGGGGGGGGCAGAACACATTGAATTGGAAACACTGAGGGGTTCGGATAATGGACTGTCACACAGTGGCACCGGGCGTTGTCTGCCATTCCCTCAGACAGCCTCTCCTGCTAGTGCTACATGGCCCCTCTTTTCAACCCCAAGGAGATGCTGGCCAGTGGCCAAGCATCACTGAGTGTATTTGAGTGCATGTGAATAGGTACCCTTTTATTTGTGCATGTATTTTGTGTGGGAATATAGGAGGTACTTCTGAGCTAAGAGCCATGCTTATTAACATCCCAAGTGCTCTCCATTTTCTATTGGTTTTCCACTCTCCTCCGTACATACCTCATCTCAGATGCCCATCTCACCAGTCTCCTCATCATGGCTGAGACAAAAATGGTGATGGGGCACAGGAAAGAGAATTTGGAGCAAAGTCCACAAACTAAACAGAATTTCAAGAAGAACGCCAGCTGAGCCCTCCCGCTGTTGACTCTGCTTGATGCTGAGCGCAATCAATACACTCAAGTCAGAGCATCAGCCCAACTTGTCCCTCATGATCTGCAAAAGTTTCAGTTTTACAAAAAAGAACTCAGCAATGGTAAGAATGCAGTAACGGCCTAGCGCACCTGCTGACATCTTCTGCACATCAAACGTCCCATATGACTGTGCCCGTCTGCAACCGCTTCCATTTTTCTTCGTGGGATTTACTCGGGTTCCTGCTGTTTTGGGTTAGAAGTGACAGTTTTGTCACACAAACTCACTGTAAGGCACATTAACTGCCTCCGAAACCTCTCACAAAGAGCCCCAGAATGTCGGCGGTTGCCGCTGTGCTCGGGCGAGATGTTATTCTAGCGGCTCGGCTTACTCCGGCTCCGAGTGCTATAATGTCATACGAGTCTGAGTGCGTTAAGGTGGCTGTGTAATGACACACCTGGGATGAGGGATAAAGAGACCCATTGCTCCAGTCTGAGAGATGGAGGGCACGAGACCACCGCTAGTTGACACACATCGGGGCATCATAAAAAGAAGCCGGTCTCCTTCCATCTTGTTGAACTATAGTTGAGGCAGAGCCATGTTGTTGGTTTTCTTGGACCGACCATCTTTTTCATGCATATCCTGTTTCAACCCTCCACCTTTCACCATCCTCTGTTCCTGCCCTCCATACTATGCACTGTGCTAGGCATGTGTGGCCATGTGCCATTTTGCCCTCTGGGCCCTCTTGTCAGATTATAAAGAGGAGGTTTCGGAGGCCATGACATCTGGCATGGTCGGGGCACACACAAGAAACAATGGTGCATACATTCTCCAGCACATAGCAAACAGAGAGAGACGTTCCGACTGAACCAAACTGAAAGAAGCCGGATCAATGTAAGCAGACCCGGCACTGCCGAGTGGACCCGTTGAATGAGGGGTCCTGTTTGATTTAATCCCGACGATGCACCCTGAACCCCGTGCGCACACAAATTTCACAGGCATTACGCAGGGCCACTGTTTGCACTGAGGCAACGCAATGCAGAGAGGTAACCCACTGGGGATGCCAAAGGTTTAGATTTTCCCATGATGGCAACCACTCTCACAGGACAGAGGGCGAGTAACCAGGATGGAATCCGGCCCTTTTCAATGGCTGCTGAAAGGAGAGCTGTGAAATTGTCAGAAATTTTGCTGTGTGTAAACAGAAGACTGAAGTGGAGGGGGGACCCTGCCTGGACCAGACTAAACTGCTTCCCAGGAATCTTTCTCTGTTCCGCTTTTCTTCGGACTATCTTGGGCACTCCTCCATTTATCACTGCCGAGCCCTCTCTCAAATTAATTTTCTCTCTGCCTGTCCCCCTTGCCTGTGAACGAGTCCCACACTGTGAGGACACATTGACCCGCTGTGAGGACATTTTAGCAAATGACATTCATTTTTTTTTCCCCCAGTATTTCTGACTGACAGACTGATGGTGAATACTCAGTTCCTGCGAAAATGCAAATCCTTTCCAAAAGTAAAGATGTATTTTAATGCGCAGAGATTAACGCGAACATCAAGAAGAAAACACAGCTTCAACAGAGGCATTACCTCTATTTTTTTGACAATAATATTTGACATGGGCGTGAAATATGTGGGTCGCTTGCCCCAATTAGAATCATCCACTGCTCTAAGTGAGCATGACCACATAAGAATTTCCCTAAACATTTCAGTGGTTGCTAAGGGACAGCTTCAGCTCTTGTGAGCATGCCGGACGAGGAGGGGGTAACTAATGTCCTCACCCAGTGACCGCACTCTCAACAGACTGCTCTTGTGCACTAAAAAACAACATTTTATTCTACTTCCTGAATACAATCAAACACAGCATGGCGCGCCCACTGAAAAGCCTTAATGCCCAACGTGCTGTCAGATGTGTTTAAAGTGAAAGCACAAACATCTCCTCCAAACACATTGAAATGATGCAATGCAATAGCGCGCACTTAATAAAAACTCAAAAATGTTGCTTGTATGATGATGGAAATTCCGTCTTAAAAAGTGAAGTGTAAGTTAATTGTGTTTGCGTACATGTAATATGCTTGAAAGCTATTTGAAATTCAATATTAGTATCCAATATTCATTTTATACTCACAACAACTGTAATCCAGGGCGTACTATAATCATTACACACTCTATCTACACTTCTTTTTTATTTGAGTTGTCATTCAATTATATATGGTGCCATCAGCATTTGACGGCTTAAGCTTTGCAGTTTTTGGAAAGCCTTGCCCAGGTAAAATCGTATCACTCTCCGACTGCTAAACCGAGCATTTGTTCATGCAGAGTTCCTGTGCAACCCTGCAGACAGACTTAACCTAGTTTTGCATGAACGTCTGTTCTAGAAGTTCACTCTTTTCATTAGTGTTAGTAATAGGAGGGCTTCCACCTTTTTTTCAGTTTTTTTCAAGAAAATTCACCAGCATAGCATCAACTGGACGACACATTGCAGCAGCGTGACGGCCATTAAGCTTCCCAAACAGGTCCTGAACTCAGTCAGGGACAGAAAAACATTTTGCTAGGTGGTAATTTTGCAACACTGCTCCAATGTCATTTAGCAAAACAAGGGAAAGGGAACGACATGTTTAAAAAGCACTGTGAAGCCGATGCTGTCAAGTGCGTTTGTCTGCAAATGACGCTGTCATACACAAACAACCAGTCCAACAAATCACTGAAGTATTGGCAAGCATCACAGACTGATAACAAATATCTGCAGATGTGACCTGTGATCCACGGTACCGACAGCGCTACTGATCGGAATCAGATATAATTCCAACGCAATACAGTTGACAATTTCATCTTGGACAATGAAAAGTTTGAAGAAGATGAGCTGGAAAAGGCTTTAATTAAAACGCTTTGACCTCAAAATGAATTGAATGCAGCCTGTATCACAGTCGTGTTCTAATACAGTTTGTGACTTCGACACTCACTGTAGCAGAAGGCACACTGCACAGAATACCAACTACTGTCAAACTTGGCTGGTATATAAATAGAACACATTGGCGTGACTACAAGTGTGGTTTGTGCAGTAAAAGCAATGGGAGCCTGATTAAAAGAAGCAATTAAAATATTAAGATGGCAAACTTGATTGAAACCACCAAGTCAAAGCCCGATTGACTTGGTCTGATGCAATCATTTATATGTGTACCTTGTGTATCCTTGTAGAGTAAGCCAGCAAATTTAGAAGCAAGTGATTGAGAGAAGGATAAGAAGAAGAATGGGGTTTTGGGAACGGGAGGCTGCTACCTCTGTTCCTAAGTGTGCGTGTGTACGTGTGAGCGTATGTGTGTGTGTGTTTACGCAAAGTCAGCACTAGGAGTGATGGGATGGTGATGTAAAACCTCAGCCATGTATTCAATCTAGAATTACATCCAAGAGTTCTTCCAGATCAGACTCAAAAACAAATCATAGATACAAGCTGTTCATTCGGGCAGTTCTATACTTCCAACTTTGGAAAAAGCCCCTTACTCTTTCCAGAATAACAATGGATAAGGTGTGATCCAGAAAGATTTCCTTCAATGAGTTCTGTCTGTAAAAACCTACACAAAACGCTGATCCCAACCCCATCATTTGGATGAGTATGGGTGATTTAGATGAATTGACAAAACGCTCAATCTTACCACAAAAACAGTTATTTAAAATAAATGGACTGTCATATTCCTAAATTGTAAAAGTCAAAAAGCAATACTTTTGACTGTACCAGTCGATGGGTGGGAGGAAAGACTGCATTGCCGGAAAATATTTCTTCACAACACATTTTGAAGTCCTACCCAAGCTGTCAGATCAAATCCTGGAAGCTAAACAATTGAATCTCAGTTAAAAGAATAAAATCTCCCGTCCAACCACGGGTAGAGTATCTTCTATCAGGCTGTCTCGTCCATATTCCTGGCAGACCTAATGTTTGGTCCGTTTGCTTTAAAACATTTGCGTCAAACAAATGACACTTTGATAAATCTCTCTGCCAATGTCACTGCCGATGGCGCGCCATCCACTGATTTTTAACCACGTTTACCATCTGAGAGACAACCACCCATCGTCCTAATTTGGGGCATGGCATGGCGCCCAACTGCCCAGATTAGTCACCTTAAATATATTGAATTCATCTTAACAAAGTAAGCAAGGCAGCAATCTGAGACCTACTCCTGAGCTGAATCATACAGTATTGCACTCACAAAAGCCCTAAAAGCCTCAGTGTATGTCCTTGCAGCGACTGTGATTTCTCATGGGACTGTGGGCAAGGAAGAACAGCTTGAGATTGCTCATTACAAACCTCTAAAATGCCCTAAAGTACCACATGCTTGCACTAAGAACCTTTTAAAGTGCTTCTGCCATTTTTGTTGCAAATGCTCCAAAAAAAAAAAAAAAAAAATAGCCCAAAAGAAGTAGATGAATTTACTTTAATTTTATTTATTTATATTTTTACAGCTGCTTTGATCGATGCATCTGGTTGGAAGATCTGATTTGGAACAGTTGTGATCCACTTAATTTATCGCTGATATTGAAGACCTGAATATCCAGAATAATGTGTTCCACGTGCCCTTGTCTGATCAATAAATAATCTGCTCAGCCAAACATTTGGATTTAGCCAAGTGTGCCATACATCCAGAGGCAGGAGAGAAGGCAAGGACAATTCGATTTAAACGGACATTATGTAAACATCACTTCATCACTGACTTGCGATTCTGTCGCTGACTACAGTACAACACGGGAATGGTCTGATTAAATGCTCATCTTGAAAATATTTTTGATGGCACAACGTGGCTCGTCATAAGAAAATTGTAAACGGTCAACCATGTCGTGATCTGTAACATTAGTAGACCCTGTTGGACAGGGCATTGACATCAGAAACAACGTTACCCTTCATAAGCCTTGTACAAACCTTGCAAGTCAGTGAGCCTCATTCATCGTTTATACGAGTACATTTGCTCATAAATCCTACAAGTTTAAGCTAGTGTTCAGTTGCGGGTCAATCAATCAGATTGTGGCAATGGCTTTGGGACAAGTAACTGTGCAGTTAAAAGTCAAATTACACATGTACCGGTACATACTTTCCCAGCATACTTTTTTGGGTTGTTTTTTTTATTGCCATTCTTTTTTTGTCTGTTGACATATGTCATGACGATCTGGACATAGGATTAGTAGACTGATGTAGCCGTTTAAGGTGTCATCCTTCTGTATTTGACACGAGTTCCCCCTGGCCCAGGACAGTGACCACATATGCACACTTGAATCCAGTCTCACATCTGATATGTTCATTTCCCTGGCTTTATCAGAAAAATGGTTCAAATAACATTTCTTTAAAAAGCAGGCCTTAAGAGGCTTAGCTGCAGCAGTGCTTCAGCAGCCAAAAGGTCACTTTTGCAAATTGGGTTCATTAATCTTCTAGTGTATGGCAGCCCCGGTGGGACACTCTTCATACACAGGCACAGATTAAAATGGCAAAAGCGCTCTTAGATAAGCCTGGAAAAAAAAGAGAAACTCTTGGAATGACAAAGACTCCTCAGAAGCAGAGACTTGGCTCTGTTAAGTCAAATTGCCATTTTGGCTCATATCAAAGAGACACTGAGAGCTACTGCAGTCACAAGAGGGGAAAGTACATCAGCCTGCAGTGTCATTTGACTGAGGAATGATTATACTGTACCACCATGGATGATTGCAGTTAGGCATACCTCTGAACCAGTGCAATGACAGAATCTCTATCTCTTTGTATAATCTCCAGAAGTGAGAAACATCTGCTCACACATCAAGAAGTGACATAATCCTTTACCTGGAAGACTGGCAAAGAGGCACAAAAGTAGTCTGACTCCTGCAGACATCAGCAGACCTGAACCGGTATCTCTCCACTGAAGTCAGACCATAGGGGTAACGGACCGTAAAAGTAAGTCAGATGAGATCACAAGTCACATTTCTTATCTCAACATTTTTTTTTTGTAGTACAAGTGTCACCATCAAGCAGTCTTTTCAGGCAGTTACCGGTATTCACTACATTAAGAAGGAAAAATATCTACAGCACTTTTAAACCTATAATGCCATTTGTATCATATTTGATACATGCATTTTCATTATGTAACTCATTCTTTATATTACATTGAATCATCTGTATCAAATTTGATACTGCAGGTTTAAAATGTGATTTTTCCCAAATTTTCATTTTCAGATGTAATCGACATCGTGCTTTAAGTGGAATACGACAAATATCTAAAACATGATATGGCAAAAATATTTTTGTGGATTTTGTTATAGGGGTTAATGAACATCTCAGTTCCCAAAAATCAGATTTTTCTGGCTATTCCTTGATAGGTCAGATAATAAAATTAAGAGGGTGAACTCACAATGAGACATTCATATTTGCTTTGATAGGGCTGGGCATTCGGTATCAAGATATATCATGATAGCCACATCATCAGTATCAATTAAAAAAAAATGCCTTCAATCAATAGTTTGAAAATCAAGAGACAAATCCTAGCCCCAGCATTGTATTGGATACAATTTAATTGTATTATTTATTTAAAATCTAAAAAAAAAATCAAAAAATATCATCCATCCATCCATTTTCCGATCCGCTTATTCTCATAAGGGTCGCGGGGGGTGCTGGAGCCTATCCCAGCCGTCTTCGGGAAGTAGAGGGGGACACCCTGAACCGATTGCCAGCCAATCGCAGGGCACACAGAGACGAACAACCATCCACACTCACACCTAGGGACAATCGAAAGTGTTCAATCAGCCTGCAATGCATGTTTTTGGAATGTGGGAGGAAACCGGAGTACCCGGAGAAAACCCACACAGGGAGGCTGGAGCTGGAATTGAACCCGCTAACCACTGGCGCACCGGGCCGCCTGGGCTGTTTACTTTTGGTCAAATATATATCAATGACTGATTGATATGAAATACTTACATTGTGAAACATCTTTCAGCCATATCGCCCAGACTTATTCAGCACATTATGTTTCAAAAAGGTGATGATGCAAAATTTATATTAATCAGTTTATTTTACTTTGAGAATGAGCCACTTTAAGCAGCCTCACCAGTGGCCAAGCCACTGGCTCTTTTTTTTTCTCATCCTCTCGAGCTCTGCTTTCCCCTTGACCAAATTAAACTTTAGAATGAGGAACCTTTAGCGGCCCCAATAGCATTTTTTTTTTTTTGCAACAGTAATTGACGTAGAATCATGAAGCAAAATAACAATTCCTCGGATTACGGGGAAGCAGTTCTCAAAGAAAAACGGTTTGCGATTCCCATACAGACTAATGTTCTACAGTATCATATATTTATAATGCATTTAGATTTGATTTAATCAAATACCTGTTAATATTTATTTGACATGATGTTACATGTGTTTCTCATATCAGTGTAGCTTGAGATTCAGTGGATCGCGTAGAGGACAATTAGTAAGGATGTCACACACCCAAATATTTGCTGTACAATAAAAAAAAGCACCAAGTGTAAATAGTGTCATGGTCTCGTTTTTACATTGACTAGCTGAGGATGGCAAAGATGTTCTATATAATTTTGTGTTTTCAGTCTGTATTCTGCCATCATGATGCTTATTAAAAATTTATTTCTCATAAATGACTCATAAGGTCCTTCTACTTCCAGTTCGCTCTTCATCTCTGGCATGCCAAGAATGGCCAGTAGGCCAATGAAAATGCACTGTAACATCGATAGAGCTGTAAAATTGTAGCTTGATAATGTTTTGTGTGTGTGCGTGTGTGTGTGTGTGTGTGTGTGTGTGTGTGTATATTATGTTTTTGTCTTGAATTTGTTCGCGATACGTGCATTTCATGTAAAGCCAAACTTTTGCTAAAATGGAAGTACTGTACCCCCCCCCATCCCTCCCCAAAAGGCTATCAAGGCTATGCAAAATAATTTGTCATTCATAATGAAAATTACATTGTCAAGGAGAACTTTGAAAGTTCTTATGAAACAAATCTGTAACTGCTTTCCACTAATGATCAATTGGAATGC